GTATAAAAATAAAAAAGATCCTTCTGTTATTTAGATTGAAAAAGTCTGCACAAAATATAGATCAATAAATCCACCACAAAAACTAAAGTGCAGGTGAAGTTTCCCAAAATAACTAAATAAAATAAAATGAAGCCCAAGATCTGTTGAGCAAAAAGCCTCCAGTATACTGCCACGTACGTGTACTGTACGCAGAGGGTTCAGACTTCATACTCCAGCGTACACCCCGAGCAGCTGCAGAGCAGCTTCACAGACAAGGGGCGTTTACCTTCGGGACAAATTGAGGTCGCCGATTGGTCATTTGCTGACACGCCTACTGGATTGATTGACAGGTCGGGAAAACAGGAGAAAAAAAAAGCGAGCACTGGCAGCCTCACGCAGCGGTGTTCTGTGTTTATATGTTGTTAATAAAAATATCTAAAAAATTAAAAAAAAACAGAGAGCGCTGGCTCTACAGCACACACATCAGACCAGCCCACCAGGAAATCTCCAGACCCTCCCGCAGCCATGCTAGACCTGAGTTTAATTCGCTCGTGACAAATTCCTTCATTTCTCACCATTTCAGTCATTGCATCAACGGAGGAGGAAGAGATCACTTGCCTCTTGGCAAAAAAACAAAAGAAAAGGCCAGATCAGAGATGAAGAAGGAGAATTTAATACATTGGTGTCGCATACAAAACAGTCTGGGCAGTTTATTGTGCGACACCGCATATGCGGTCGTAAAAATTTGAGCTTTGCTTAGAGTGGGGGAAGGGAGAGACAGTTGAGTTGTCTGTACCTGGAGTTTAGAGCTGGATGGAGAGACAGCTGAGCCACACGTTGTTTGTTTTTAGCTAGCTACTATTGCGCGCAACTAATTAGCGTTATGCCAGTACCGACAGGTGGAGGGGGGGGTGCAGTTCGGTGTGGTCATTCGGTGCGCTCGGTTCTGTTAAAGGGGCGGGGCGCCCTGACGTATTACGTCATGAAATTAGCATATCATGATATCATGTTTTTTGCCCGGGCAAGCTTTTTTTTTTACCAGTATTATCATGAACAATATGCTATGGCCCAGCCATACCTCTCAGTTCTGTCTCAGGAGGATGTTGAAGACGTTTACATATTTGGATTTATGATAGCAGGGACACTGCTTTTTGGCATCAGTGGGGCTATGTTTTATCATCTATTGAAGGAGACATCGGCAGCAATTTCGGCCATGGCAAAGCTTTCGAGTCAGTGTGAAGGTCTGGTCCATGCTGTAGGAACTCTAAATCAACTGGTTTACGAGCTAAACCGTAAGGTGGAAGCGATTTATGAGAATCGTAGGCCACCTGCGGCTTCTGGGACTCGTCAGCGTGGTGGGTTCGACCTTGAGGAAAACTCATAGCATGGATCAGTGGAATGGAATCCCAAAATTAGGCTATTTTGGAACCAGAACGCCCATATGGACTCAAGGCTAAAAAAAAAGTAATCAGTCTGCCTGAAGAAAATCAACAATCAAAGCTGATCTGAATTTGACTCCCAACGGCCTCAGAGACGGACCGACGATCAAATTTCTCCTGGGACACGGGTAACCAAGGACAAAAGCTTCATCTATCTCGCCCGCGCGAGATAGATAGGTAAAAAAAAAATTCAAATTCTTGAACTTTTTTTTTCAGATCCTATTCATGGTTAACAAATAGGATCTGAAAAAAGTTTAATATGGTTAAATTATAAATTTTGCAATATCCTTTGTAAAAATTTACTGTAAAACATTTGTTCTATTAAGTCAATTTATGTCCAGTTATGTCCTTCAAAGTGGAACTAAATTCATTAAGCTGTGCTGACAGGTTATGCCAGAGTTTTCACTTTTCATCACAAGTTACCTGCTCCCATACGAACAAACATTAATTTACTGCACTTTGCTGCATCAGCGGCCAGTGCCTTTCTCTTTTTTCATCCTCTCTCTCTTTCTGCCCCATCTTTCCTATTCTTTGGCTGTCTCTCTCGCTCCATTCTGACCCAGAGATGCGTGCACTGCGCGCAACCGTATAAATGTCAGGAGTGAGAGTCCAAAGTCAGCTTCACTCAGCTCTGTGACAGACACAGCCTTAGAGAGGGAAGGGAGGTCAGGGGAGCTTCAGTGACACCTGAGTGAGCCGGCACAAGAGTGGCTTGTTTATTTAAAATAATAAAGTGCGACCTGAACCGAGCCTTTAGTCTAGTCCCACGGTGGGCACTGACCGGGGCAGGCCAAACGGAAATGTCACGGCGCTCCTGATGGCCAATCCGCCCCGGTCATTAAGTGTAGGACTAGTAGACTGAGGAACAGCTACTAGCCTGAAGCTGTTACACTCATGAATCCCTAACAAAGACAATCATCAGTGTTTCCATTATATATGCGCCCCGTCAACAGAACCAACCTACCGAACTAAATTGCGCGCACCTCCCCCACCCACTCGTCAGCACTGACACATTGCCAATTTAGTGGCACACAATACTGGCAAGCAAGTTAAAAAATTAAAAGTAGCATTCAACCTGCCTCGTCCTTCACTCTCATGATGAACCCCCCATACGCCCCCTGCTCGAAAACTGCTGTCGGTACAAACAGCACACAGCTCAGCTGTGTCTGCAAACCCCCCCACCAACGCGCTTGTACAAACAGCGCGCAGCTCAGACGTGTGTCTCCAACCTTGCGCCCAGTCGACAGAAAAAAAAATCATGGACGAGATGAGCGCCCCACCATGACAAATTATCTAGGGAAAACACATCACTGTAAGGAAAACAAAGAAAAATCACTGTAATGCCACTTTAATTGGTGATATGTGACTTATATGTGCTGCTGATTAGCCATGCTGCTGATTTCTTGCCTTTAAGCTGCTGAATTCATACCCATCTTCTCACAACAGACTCGTGTTTAGGCTGCCGTTTAACACACCGCATTTTTTATTTTTATTTATTTTTCTTCTTTTGTCTGCTCTCTTCTTCAGGGGTCACCACAGCAAACTAAGTCGCACTAAAACTTGGCGATTGGTTTTTTTTTTACGCTAAATGCCCTTTCTGATGCAACCACTATCACCAATCTACCACAGCCCTCTGTGTGGAGCAAAGAGCTGCTGTCTAGGATGCCCGGGGGAGCAGCTATGGGGGTTAAGGACCTTGCTCAAGTGCCCAGAGTGGGGCAAATGAGGGTGGAGGCAAGTGTGGGTGCTTCATGCGTCCCATCCACATTTCAATGTTGTTGGTACTGAGAGTTGAACTGGCAATCTTCTGATCACATGCCCACCTTCTCTAACCTCTGCACCACCACGCCCGCATTTAATATTGCGCCGCTCAAGGTGGCAGCATGTTGGAGCAGCTCTGTTACTTTCATTCTGAGATTTTGCTTTTGGAAACTTTAATTCCTATTTTGCTGGATGTAAATCATATTTTGGATGATTGTTTCCTCTGGTGTCAGATGCTGTGCAGCTGGAAGGATTTTTACTGAAACTTTTTTAGTTTTGGACATTTGTTATGATGCGTAACCATGGCAACAAGGCTGTTTTCTACAACCAACAGCAGCTGATTAACATCTCAAAAGCTCAAATAACATCTCAGCTACAGCCCCAAATCTCAAATGAGTTGAAAGGATGTTCTGTGGACGCATTCCCATCTACCTGCCAGCTGTACTCTCCGCTGGGAACCTGGAACTGGCGGGAGACACGGCTCATGACAGCAGGACAGGATCGTCCCTCAGCACCTACAGTTGGCTGTCCGCAGCAACGAGGAGCTCAGCAGACTGCTGGGAGGAGTGGCCATCGCTCTGGGAGGAGTTTTGCCCAGCATTCAGGTGGTCCTACAGACCGGTGGAACCGAGGGGCCGGCGGAGTCTGGGTGGACGGATCGGGCGGCATCTGCAGCCAGTTTCTTAGGATCCACTGTGGGATGGACCTTTACAAGAGATTATTCCTGCCTACAGCCATCAGTATCTATAACATCTCTTAATGAAATGAGAATAACGAGTTAGAACAACAAATAATTTCCCTTTGGGATTAATAAAGTATTTTTGAATTGAATTGAATAGAATTGAATTGAATATACCGTATTATATTACATTATTATTGTAGCGTATAATTTAGATCCTTGTATACTATTTTTTATACTTTATATTTTTGCTATTGTTGGATTAACTGGGACTTTGTGTACACAAATTCGTTCCACCTAACGTACCACATTTCATTCACCCACACTTGTGTGTGGATAAATGAAAACCACTTAGGCACACACTCTCTCGCTGCCCCCCCGCCCCACCAATGCACACACTTTTTAAAAAAAAGCAACTAGCTTGTTGTTATCAGTACATTTATGTGAAGTGGTTTACTCAGAGAATTTACATTTTAATTTACATTTCAGGAAATTTGCGTTAAAAAAAGACTGAGTTCTCATAAAATGTTCAACATATTTACATTATTTATGTCAAAAATGCAGAAATTATTTGCCCATATTGCAAAACTTGACTGCTACAAGTACCCTTTCCTTCTGTCAATAAAATCTAAAAATGGCTCAAGTTCATGTCACGTCTGGTCAACGTTACATGGAGCCATTTGAGAGAAGTTGGGGCCAGATTGCCAACCCCTATGCAAAGCCATATGACCGACTTCCTGCAAAAGGAGGATTTCACAAGACAGTTTGCTGAAGTTCTTACCAAAAGTATCCTTAAAGCAGGCCAAATATTCAGGCTTTGTGATTTATAAATACATAAACAATAAGGTCTTAATTTAATACATTTGTCTGGCTGGAATATGCACTTTAAACCTATATTTAGTCCTTAATTATTTGCATGACTTTGTTTTCATTTCATTTAGTGTTATATGATAAATGCCAGTTGACTATTCAAAATAAAACTAACTAAAATGAAATAGCTGACTTTGTTGTACTTAGAATATAAGATTAATCGTAGCAGATATGTTTAGCTGCCTAATGTAAAGTAAACATTTCTGCTAAGCAGCTGATGCACTTTCATTTGATGACCTGAACAAAGAAAGTTGTGTTTCTTATGAACTCACGGCTGTGCCAGCATCATGGGCAAAGCATTCTCCTGGATTCTGGATGGTCTGTTGAAACCCATGTCGTAAACACCTTTCAACAATTCAGGCTTCCTAACATGCAGGGCAGGAAGATTACAGAAGTTATAGTTCAGACAAATGAGCGCAAACCCATGGATCACCTTCAGCACTCACAGTCTGAGCTCCTCAAAGGTCCTCACGGAGTACAAAGGGGAGGTGGGGTCCGCCTGCTGGACCTCCACCTGGTTTCTGTTCCTCACCAGAGACCGGCGGATCAGCTTGTTCAGCAGGGACTGCTCCGCCAGGTCCACCCGGTCCACCTCTGCTCCACAGCCTTCATTTTTAGCCATGGCTGCAGGTGGACACCACAAGTCAGGACATCAATTTGGACAGGTGGGATTTGATAATTACTAAATTACCATTTGCGTCTTCTTTAATCTTAGGTAGACCGCGTACTGGACAAGGCTTCTTCGAAAAGTCAAACTGTCCAGAGAAAGCTCAACTGTTAATATTAAGTTAGCGCATTAAGCTAACCCGCTAACTGACGCAGGAGCTAACAGTTCACCATTAAAACTCACCTGAGAGGGTGGAGATGTGGCCTCGTGAACATCCACTGCTAAAGCCCAAGAATCTTTGAACATTTTTAAACATTAACCGATTAAATCTTTGAAGAGAGCGAGAAAAAAAAAAAAAACGGCAACAGTTTGTCAACTTTAGACGTGCCGCTCTAAAATAAGCGCAAAACTTGCAGCTCCTGCTGCCTTCAGAGGAATCGGAAATATTCCTGCTTGAACGTCCGAGTGAAAAAAAATACAATCAGTAGATAATTAATTTTGTGGTAATGTTTTTTTTTTTATTTATTTGTGTGATTTGACCATCAAAAATCAGTTTATATTTATAAAATTTAATATTGTTTTTAGATTCGATTTTCAAAGCTTGAATGTGTATTTAAAAATTTTACCCACTTTGTAAGAATGATGTAAAGGCATCAGAGTAAGTTTTTTTCAGTACAGGACCTAAAAGATTTGTAATTTGTGTATTATTATTTTTTTTTTACAAATACAAGTCTTTGCACAAATGTACAACATCACAAATTTATTTTACAAGGTTACAAAACTAAATGACAAGTACAAAATATTTATAAATATTATGCAATATTTGTGTACATTTACACAAGTTACAAATGTATTTTGCAAGGCTCTGTTTACAGATATCAAGCCAAAAACTACCTGTAATCTCTTCCCGTGAGTTTCAGATTACAAATATAAACCTTGAACATCTTTATTCCTCTCAGCTGATTAGTTAATGTCAAATTTAACAATCCAATCAGAGAACAGATGGGTTTGGCCTCAGAGCTTTTTAACTACCTCAGCGGCCTCAGCCACGGTTATCGACGGATCAACCCCAAAGTCCCCCGACTCAGCTTCCTCCATGGAAGACGTGCTGGTAGGATTGAGAAGGTCAGAGAAATATTCCTTCCACCTCCCGATGACATCACTAGTTGAGGTCAACAGCACCCCACCTTCACTGAACACTGTGTTAGTAAAATGCTGCTTTCCCCTCCTCAGCCACCTGATGGTTTGTCAGAATCTCCTCGGAGCCAACCGAGAATCTCTATCCAAGGTCTCACCTAACTCCTCCCACATCCGAGCTTTTGCCTCAGCAACAGCCAAGGCTGCACACGGCTTGACCCTGCAGTACTCCTCAGCTGCCTCCAGAGTCCCACTGGCCAACAAGGCCCGATAAGACTTCTTGGCTCTATCAAGGATGTGAACATCTTCGTCCCTGAAAGAGTTACTGCTGGCCTGGACGGATTCTTTCAGGGATGAAGATGTTCACATCCTTGATAGAGAGGAACGATGGTTTGAGAGAGGAGTAAAGGAGGCCATCTTTGTGAAAAGAAATCATCCATTAAACAGGGGTGGAGGCCTCCGTGTTCAACTGTCCCCCTCTTACAATGCTGTTATTGCTTGTATCACTCAGCCCCCGGTGAATAGCAAACAGCCATCAGTGGCTGTTTGGACATTCAAAAAAGACTGGTAAATAGCAAAGGATCAGATTTAACTTTTTAGATTTTTCTACCTGGATTATTGAGCATGCATCAGGATGTTACTGAAAATAGCTCCCTACACAATCTGTGATGTCAGCAAGTACCCAGGTGTCTGGCAAACAGAACTTTGAGTACAGTACAATTAGCTCTGTATAAAAAGTTAAATCTGGTCCTCTGGACACTCAAAAAACAAAACAAAGCAAAACAACAAAAAAACCTGTAGAAACGTTTCGTCTTTCATCCAAAAGACTTCCTCAGTCTGAGGTGCTGTTTTCAGCTCAGTCTAAGACTGAGATCATTGTCACTTTTGAAAAACAGAGTAAAAGAACCGATTGCTTCATTCTTCATCCTGCCGCTAAAAACTTGTGCAATACATGGTGAATGAATGACATCCTGCACGAAATCTTCTGTCATCTGTGCTCTTTTTTTCACCAAGGCAAAAGTGCAAGAATCGGCACACAAACACCGGGAATGCCGTGCGTACCTTTTTATTAATTCGGCCCGGTTGCCAGACACTGCTAGTCCCCTGCATTATAGCCAACACTTGACCTGTGTATTATTGTCTCCTTCAATGCACTCCAAGTCTATTTTGGCCCCGGAAACGTCGTCTTCAGTTTACGTTTACATAATCAAAAGGAGGTAGCCATTATGCATGCAGTCGGCTGCATTGTTTGCCCAACATCCAGGACTTAGGGGATTCCCCACAATTCTCGTGACGTCATCCCTGATCAACGCTACTGGATGTCACACTGAACCAAAAGTCTACATCACTTAGGTATAATTTACAGTGTTAGATTTTTGAGTAAAATCTGATATTATCAGTAGAAATATAAATTATTGTTTGGTTAGTTACTGCTTCGAAGCTCACTGTTGGACAGGTGCCATGATGGTTTTTATTACATTCTGCTGTATTGTGAAGTACTACAGTAGAAAACACTGAACTTTTACTCATCATTATGCAATAAAATGTCCAAGACGAAATTGAGACTTATTGAGTATTTTAACTGAACTATGGATTTGGATCTGTACAAAGCTCCCTCTCATACGATCATTGGTTTTAGACAATTTTAATCACATTTCAAGAAAAGTTTTTTAATCTTTTACAGACAAAAAAAAAAATACCAAAGAAATCTGAGTGTCAGTGTAGAATGCACTTAATGAAAGGCATAAATCAAGAATAAAAAGTAAGCCTCAAACAGTAAAAGAACAAAAACTAAGTTGAATAGACAAAATACTCCTGACCCACAAGTGGCAGAAAGATCATGAGGTCACAAACAGCTTTCATGAAGTTAAACCCTTAATTTCTGTTTAGACAAGGACCTTTTGAGCTCAGATAAAATGGGAGCCAGTGAGAGTTAAAAAAATATGACTACAGTGTGCGCTGCCCATCCCACTCATTGTTTACATTTGTGACGTTGTAGAGAAGCTAAGATGGCGTCCAAAACAGGCAACACTCACAGGCAACAGCAGCTTGTACTATTTAATAAATTGCACTAAATTGTTGCATGATTCAGCCTGTACAGCATAGCAATATGTCCCACAGAAGCTACTATCTACTAGCCAATTCATTAATTAACAGCCATTTGTAGTTCATTCAACCTTTATTTATACAGGTTAGTCTCATTGAGCCACAAAGACTCATTTACCTGTTTTAAAGACCTGTTTTAAACAAAGAACACAGATGAGGTACAAACAACAATAGATAATTGTAGTGGACTAGGCCTGATGTCAAAACTGATCATATGGGTCAGAAACTGTCATTTCATTGATTTGAATCCAGAGATACAGGTTGACCCATCCTGAGACTTTCTTTCTTGAATTAATCAAGTGGAAAAGACAATTCTCTATGATCATTACTATTTTACAAATGTTTTGATAATCAAATTGTGTTAGTTCAAACAATGTTTACATGTTGAAGTGAACTACTCATTTTTATTTACTTAAACAGTAGTAATGATTTTTAATCCTCAATTCAAAGTGAAATCAAGTTAGAGTACGTTACAGAGTAATGATTCAATTTCTTGATTGTCTGCTTTGAAGTGAGCAAAGTTGTAAGTGTGTCAAAGTTCGAGCTTCGGTCAACTGAAAAGTTTACTGAAAAGAAATGTCATGTTTAACTTTTACAGCAAGATACTTGGTGAGAGGCGCCACTAAGTCTGGTTTTCTCCAAAAATCTTTCTGTCTGTTCTTAAACAATCTTAATCTCTTTCCTTGACTTTCCATAACACCTTACATCACAAACCACACCTCTGTTCTGGTCCATCGACCAATCAAAAGCTCTCAAATGAACCGGAAGTAGAGCCCATTTAAATGTGGCACTTCCCAGTTCAACGGTAGAGTTCAGAGTTTTTGGAATCCAGAATGCAGAGAGTTTGGGAGTTCCTGAATGCAAACGCAGGCATTCATGGATGCTGCTAAACCAATCAAGCTGAACCAGAGACGATTTTGGGAATTATAACTTCTGTTTGGATAACCTCACACGACTCCTAAGGTTTTTAGCTGTTCTCACGGAGACGCTGAAAAGAGTCAAAAGAAGAGCTCTACACCGACGCTGAAGCTATCGTCTGCAAGGTAAAAGTTCTATTTCGACCAAGCGTACCGTTGGCCCAAGCTGGTTTCTGAAGGAGCGTGCACGTTCTGGTTAAAACAGACAAATTCCCTCACACATCTCTCTCAGATAAACTTCATCTTTCCATCTTTAAACTCTCCTGTCTGCTAGAAAATTAATCCAGATGTTTTCAGAAATGTCTGTGATGTAGCAACGGAAAATCATGGCCGTATGGTTTTCCTGGTTGTAAAGCTGATTAATTATGTTGTTGTTTTCATATTCTGCCAAATTAATGTAAATGTGTGATGTGTTAAACTTGATTCTGTTAATAAATGACCCACTCGCTTGGTGAGTCAAAGATAATTAACGTCTCACGTCCACATTTCTGTTAAATTCAAAGCACGACACAATGGTCCAGAAAGATGAGTGAACCCGTTTAATGTATGAATATATCTCTCCATATGTCATACTACATAATCATATAAGCATATAAAATGAAAAAGTAAATAGAAGAAATGAAATAAAAATTAAACAAAAACCGCTACATTATAAAGCGGTGTAAAATACTAAAAACGTTGGTTACGTACTGTAACCCCAGATTCTATGAGTATAGGCGTAGCCCTTTAAGAGCTGTTGCTGGTGGGTTTATCCTGTCATGCAAAGCATCGCACTGACAAGTTTAGTCCACGCCCACCTGTTGTATGGGCCCCACCCGGTCCGTATAAATTACGTTAAGAGCAGGTAATCAGCTCCCAAATAGCTTTTTCTTCAGCCATTTAGGAGCCAGTGAGGCCCGGCGCTTAAATGGCTACGCCTAGACTCATAGAATCTGGGGTTACAGTACATAACCAACGTTCTATTTCGTATAGGCTTCGCCCTTTAAGAGCTGTCGCTGGTGGGTTAAAGGCGAAGCATGATGTGGTCCCCGCCTCACTGGGTCCATTCGAACACCATAAGAAGCGCCCCGCTTGCCCAAAAAAACATCTTATCACTCAGCTCTCAATGTGCGTAAATACGCGTTGCGTAATTACGCGTACCATGCA